CCTACTACTACTACTGCTGCAGCTGCTGCTACTACTACTACTACTACGACTACTACGACTACTACGACTACGACGACGACGACGACGACTACTACTGCTACTACTACTACTACTACTACTGTTACTACTGCATCTACATTCTGCTTCTGCTGCTACTGCTGTTGCTGCTGTTATTAGTAATACTACGGCTACCACCACTGCCACCCAGACCTTTGTAACGTGACAGAAAAGCCGACACATGACACCTTAAGTTGCGTGATTTAGTTTATTAGCAGCGAAACAGCACCTAGAGAGCCGCATGAAGAAAGATAATTTTTGCTGCTGTCGCACTTAATTTAATACGTGGTCGGTTTATGTATCAGCAGCTTACGAAGGCTGCAACAGTACTGTTTAAAGTAGCATCGCGAGCCCGACAGGTTCTGCTTCCTGGCGTCCTCCATGTGCGCTGGGGGAATTTGCGCGTCAAAACATAGAGGAAGCTACAGAAAGGGATTTCCGCACTTCGCGCAATTTCACCTCTACGCAACATTGTGCGCATCGGCCGACAGGAGGTAGTCAGCGCAGCCCTTGACCTATGCAGAGGTGCAGAGCGTGGGGCATGACCGGGCCAAGACTCAAGATAGAATTGCTGGCGAATTCTGCGTCAGGAGATGTCCGCACGCAGCACATGTATTGCCGGCCAGTTGCAGGGGTGGTTGGTGTGATGGAGAAGTAAGGTGTTAGTTTCAAATGCCTCTGTCATAGAGGGGCCTGCCGAAATGCCATACAACCAGCAACCGTTTGGACTGGCCGGGTCTCAGGGCAGTGTGTTGGCAGGTTGATGCCAGCTCTGTGCTCACTCCGGCTCACAGTGGCAAGCAGCTGCATGCATTACTTGGAGTTGCAGAGGCACGCGCTGACTGATGCGTGAGTTGGCAAATGCTGTGCTCTTGCGGCATGTGGCATGTACGAGCTTGCTGGGCAGGGCATCTGCGGTGCTGTCAGAGCTGGAGTTGTCTTTGCAAAGTGCTGGAGAGTTTGGCGGCCTGGACATGCTGAGCCCCGGCCTTTGTCCTTGCAGTGCATGCTGGTCCGCTTGTGTGGTAGTGGCATGAGGCCAAAGGATCGCCTCGAGAGCTACGCTGCTGCGCAGCCGAGCAGCCTGGCTTTCAGGCGGTGCCGCCTCTGCTGAGGCAGCTGCCATGGCCTCAAAGACTTTCGAATCATGTGAGAGAACGTGACAGGACTGCAGAAGGACAGCGAAGGATAGGTTCTACGATTGTGCCTGGCAGTTGCATCACGCAGCACTGGCTTTGCAAATCCAGTGCCCCTGTATCTGCAGCGGAGCTAACCGCCGAACTCGGCAATCATGCGGCCGAATCCATTAATGTTTATATTACAAGTTCGCCATCTAGTGCAAGGCCACAACCTTTTGTGTCATCACTGTGGGCAGGTTTGTAGACAGGAATTAAAGACAAACTAATGCCCGGCAACACGGTGACAAGCTCCTCCACCTTGCACTGGATTGTTAGCCATGGCAGCAATGGGGCATGAACTGATGCGACGCCAGGCTCAGAACTGCCGGAGTGTCCCGCAATAACTAAGTACTAAGAGACGATACAGCTAGTTTCGGGGAGGAAAGCCTCATCGAGCCGGTTCCGAACCCTTTTTCCAATCCGGCACCTTTCACTCTTTATGAGCCACTTGGCTTGACACTGCCCGGTCCAACGGTTGCCGGGATCGAGTGAGAATATGCCGTGCATGCTGGCTCAGGATTCTGAAAGCCTGCTTGGTAGGCCGTCTGGCCACATCAGCCCGTAGAACAGGGAGTTTCTCTTGAAGATGGCTGACCATGGTGAAATAATAGCAGAGTAGCAGGTCCCATGCCTTCTTGAACTAGGTGTCCTGCTCCTCCCTGCGCGGATCGGGACGATCATTGCTGTCGGTGTGACAGAAGTGCCCTGCAGCGCACTAGTTAGTTGATGACGACTAATTTACTGACTCATGGGCCAGCAAAGAGTCTCATCGGCCCTTTGTCAGGTGCTTCTGGTTCGGCTTGCTACGCTTGGCCGAGACCCTCAGCGTTCTCATAAGCGGCATCTCAAAAACATTTTTGATTAGTTCACATCATCTGCTCCCAGTAGGTACAGAGTTGAAGGAAGAGCGTGGCTGCTGGCAGCACACCGTCGCCCACATGCAGCTTCAGAGCAGTAGCACCTGGTGTTAGAGGGGCTGAAGAACCACGATTGCTTTCTCGCAAGTCTCCTTTCGCCTTGCTTGTGATTGCTTCGTGCAGGCACAATTCGAATGGTGGCGGCTTCGGCTACTTGTGACATGATTGCATGTCGATGCCAATCTGCGTGCTCGATTCCTCAAATTCCATTGATGCTGGATGATTACTTGGCTTCAGGCCCCTCTGAAATGTTTGAATCGTTTGGCACTGGTCGCCTTTGGCTTCTGGCCGGGTTGCATCAAGGTCAAGGATTTGCGCAAGGCTTGGAAACGGTCTCTGTTTCTAGAGTTTTCTGGCAGCATACCACTGGTAGCATGGTCTGGGTGATATGCGTCGGCTCACGATGGTGGCAAAGTTTCTTGCAGGTCCCGTCCAGCCCCACCAAGATTCTGGCGGTAGCGCTGCAGCCTCATCTTCACGGCCAAAGACGAGCCAAGTGTCTGAGAGCTAGCATTGACTTCCTTTCCAATCCTGGCCATGCAAACTTCCAGCCGCTTGTAGACTTGCGGCTCAAGCCGCACAAGTGCAGCTCTGTCAAGAATTATGGTTCTTGCAAGGTACAAAAGCTTAACAAGCCGCACAAGTGCAGCTCTGTCAAGAATTATGGTTCTTGCAAGGTACAAAAGCTTAACACAAACTATTGAGCGATCCTTGTGCTGGATGGTATTGACAGATATTCCATCAAATTAGGTTATCGTAAGTTACATGGTGCATGGTTTCTTTCCACGAAATAAGGCGTGTGATGCCGTGTGTTGGCTCATTTTCGTTGTAGAAAAAAGCGGCTCGCTTAAATAGTTCAACAAGGATTTTGCATGCTACTCTTGACGGGGCCGGGTGAAGAAGCAACATAAAGCAGGACGTGACAGGCATTCAGTCGCAAGCATGTGTTGTTGATTTAGCATTGGGCCAGCGGCAAGCATGTCCGACCCTGGGGTAGCGGCCTCAGCTTTCTGAATAGTCGTGCCAGTCGTGCACTTCGTGCCGCAATTGGGCAAAGGATTGGCGGCCTTCAACTTTTCGTCCTGCCTGGTATCCGGCTCAGCCGCCATGGTCGGCCTCCTTGCGTCCTCAGGCTGAGCCTTTGTGGCACTCACGCACTACTACGGTTCCTCCCCGACCGGCATATCCCATCCGGCCCTTCCCTCAGCAGCAACCCCGACTGCAGCGACCCTTCCCCTCGCTGCGAGCACCACCTCGCAACCTGCACCACGTGCTGCCAAAGCTGCCTGAAGCTCGGCCAGTCAGAGGCCAGGAGTACAAAGCCGTTGCTCCTATCAGCTCCACAGAAACGACCTTGGCACTACGGCCGGACGAGGTCCGCAGCCCAGCCTGTTGCGCTTTACCAGAGCTTCGGTTACTCTTCGCGCTGTGCATGTGCAAGTTGTTCAGGTGAAAGCACGAGCAGGTTTAGACAAGCTTAAGAAACGAATCGTAGGGAAGGGTAGTGTGGCTACCAAGTACAGGTGCCTGGTGCCTACTGTGCAGCATGGCCTCTGACTCTCACTGTCACTGTTTTTTCGAGGCACCGCCGCCGATAATTGTCTCAGCGGATGCAGCCCCCAGGGCCAGTTCTGTTCCAGCGGATGCTCTCGGCATGCAGGACCTGCAGGCTCGACGATGCAATTTCGATTTGAATTACAGGGTCGAGTTGTTGAGCGTTGCTGCTGCTGAAGATTTTTTTGTTTGCACGACTCGCGCTGTGCATGTGCAAGTTGTTCAAGGTTATTAAAGCACGAGCAGGTATGGAAAGGCTTCAGGCTTAAGAGACGAATCGTAGGGAAGGGTAATCCGGCTACCAAGTACAAGTGCCTAGTGCCGACTGCGCAGCATGGCCTCTGCCTCTCACTGTCACTGGTTGTTCGAGGCGCCGCCGCCGATATTCGCCTCAGCGGATGCGGCCAGTTCTGTGCCAGCGGATGCTCTCGGCATGCAGGCCCTGCAGGCTCGACGATGCAATTTCGATTTGAATTACAGGGTCGAGTTGTTGAGCGTTGCTGCTGCTGAAGATTTTTTTTTTTGCACGGCTCGTGCTGTGCATGTGCAAGTTGTTCAAGGTTATTAAAGCACGAGCAGGTTTGGAAAAGGATTTATGTCAGGCCAGCAACCAAGCAGCGTCCGAACCTTGGAAGACACAATGGCAAACCTATACAAAAAACCACTCGGCAAAAGCCAGGCTGTCTTATAGCTGCACTTGATGGCTTGCTAAGATCGAAAGCGGTGCTGCAGGATGTTTTTTGGGGTGTCCGCGGCTTCAGGCCTTCAAAAACAAGGTACTCAGGGGCTTTGAAACTGTTCCCTGCGAAAAGAGAACGTAAACATCGCAGCCAAAACCTCTCAACGGTGTAGCCTCATCGGTGCTCCACAGACCCAAGTGCACCGATCGGCGTGCCACAAGCAACAGGTTGGGGAACCACATACTGGTTACAGCTGTTGGAATGAGATGAACATCCGGACCTTACAGTCGAGGATTTCAAACGTACAGGTACTCCCACCTACCAGCGCCGTGGATGGTGTGCAGCAGGCTTACAATCAGCCCAACCGGAACAACCAAAGTCTCTTAAGGGTACCATTGTCTTGTTGTGACACTTCTACGGCTTATGAGCATGCATGCCTGTGTGCAGGCCTCACCTTTCGGCACCGCGACGTCGTTACTTCACCTGCCGCCACCGACTCTCCAGGACTGCTGTGCAAAGAGGCCATGTAAGCCATCCTCGAGACTGTAAATCGCCCATGCCTTGGAAGCTGCAGAGGATTACCAAAAGAAAGAGTTCAAGACGTTTCTTGACAATCAGACGGAGATTCGGCCTCTAGATGACCATGCCATCCGTGCCGCCAACCGGATGGAGAAGTTTAGGAAGACGAAAAAACTTATCCACCTAGGATCTGGCCATAACATCAGACAAGACAGTATGGCAGCATGGGCAACGAGGAAGGTTCTGCAGGCGATGGAAACGATTGTCCCTAGCAGCCGCAGCAACGCCCCCCAGCAGCTGGACTTCGACTTCGACACACGCACACTGGGCGACATGATGAACACAGGGTTTTGGAAGAAGATCGGAGACCTGGGGATTGAGCTTGGCCACCATGAGATTTCAGGCAGTGCTGCTTTGGCAGACCAGCTGCTTGCTTTGCCGCCACCGCCGCCGCCGGCAGAGGGGCTGCTTGCTTTGCCGCCACTTCCGCCGCCGCCACCTCCGACCAGTCCGCCCAGATTCAGGAGTGACAGCCGGAGCCCGGGGCGGCGCCAGCACAGTAGATCGAGGACCGGGGCCGCCTTTTGAGAGTCCTGGAAGGGAATGTTTAAACACACATATGTATTGGAGAATGTTAAGGGACTCGTCATTTTGCAACCCCGCTAGGAGAGACTGTGACGTGGTCCCACCCGATGAACCAGAGTGTGTAATGTTTCGCATCTGCCGCCCACACGTTGGTTGAAGCCGTTTAAACACGTTCGGGCGACAGGTGGCATATGTTTAAACATTTTGTGTTTTATCATTTTTGTTTTAAACCGTTTAGGGATGTTCGGCCACAAGTGGGATGCGTTTAAACATATTGCCTTTGAGTTTTGGTTTAAAGCGTGTAAACACTTCCGCCGCCCAAATCCTGTCGAGGACCCCGCGAAATAGTCGTCAAACTCCACGTGACGAGCGGCGCAGAGCAAGGAGTCCACCAAAGGCTCGGATGAGCCAGCTGCGAAGAAACATGCTGGAGCATATCAGCAAGGAAGCGGAACGTTTCCAAGTTCCGCGCCGCAATTTCAAATATGAGAAACTTGATGTGCGTGATATAGAGACAAGCGGTGAGACCATCGACAAGGAGACGTATGATGAATTGGTACATGACCTCCAATTGGGAAGGCAGGTGGACACACTTCCTCCGTTGGTGGTGATCAAGTTCGTCGGAACACCACCAAGCCGATCAGTCCATGTGGCGGTGTTTGGCAATGCGCAGCTGCAAGCAGCAAAGGAACATCAGCAGCGGAGCAGAGGCAGAGGAGACTTGCAGCTTAGGTGTGACGTCTTTGAAGATGTCAACTTCCTTGGCGAAGAGAAAGTGCCCGCACCTCTGGCTTGCAAACTGGTGCTGCAGTCGGAGGATCAGATGGCCTGCTTGCGTCGTTTCCTCGCGAACAAGCGTCACGCAGCATACGATCCCGCAGAGACGGGAAGCAGCGTGCTGCACAAGTTCAAAGACAACGTGCGAGTGGTGGACGTGAAAGACATCCGTCACTCTCACGACGCTGTGAACATGCATTTTGCGCATGGCGCACACAAGGGACAGTCAGTCCAAACACTGGTGGAGGATCTGATTTCAGGGAAGCTCGCGCCGAGAGACATCACGCCACTGGTGTTGCTCGAACTGAAAGAGGGAGAATATTGGGCTATCTTTGGAAATAGGCGCCTCAAGGCTTTGACGCTTGGCGAGAATTTCCTTATTCTTCTTGCATGAGCAGTTTCGAAGCTAACGGTCTGCATTTCAGAGCTTGTAAGCGTTCTTTTATCGACTTTATGTGAGGAAAGAGTTCCGCGAGCGCAAGCGGCGTCCTGGTCCCGTCTTGATGGATTGCCTGGTGTGGGACAAGGCATGGCATTCCAAAAACACTCAACGACTATGCCGCAGTGAAGGGGTCGATTGAAACACGCTTAGAAATCAAGAACTTAAACAGGTTTAAACATGTTTGGCCAGTCGGTGGATGTTTGTTTATTTATTTGTGTAAGCAGTGTCGTCACATGTAAATGTTTAAACCACGGTTAGACACACTTGTGCCAACTCCCGGAGTGACACATGTGTTTAAACCCCACGTCAAAACGCATGTTAAACAGTTGCCTGACTGCCACATATCCCGATGGTGTTTAAGCCCATGCTTAAACACATGTTAAAATTCCCAGAGTGCCACACATCCCGAAGGTCCAGCGTAGACACACGATGGAAACAGTTCCCTGAATGCCATATATCCCGAATGTGTTCAAACGGATGGCTAAACACACGTTTAAAAAGTTCCCAGAGTGCCACGCATCCTGAATCCGTGTGAACAAATGTTTAAATATCTGTTTAAAAGGTTCCCTCAGTGCCCCACATCCCCAATGTGCTTAAACCTGTGTGTAAACACAGGCCTCAACAGTTGCTGAGTGCCACACATCCCGGATGTGTTTAAATCCATAATTGAACACATGTTCAAACAGCTCCCTGAGTGCCGCACATCCCGAATCTGTTTAATCCGATGTTCAAAACTATTTGTTTAACCAGTTCCCTGAGTGCCACGCATCCCCAACGTGCTTAAACCCATGCTGAAACCATTCCCTGCGTGCCACACCCTTCAATGTGCTTAAACACATGTTTCAACAGCCCGAATGTGTTTAAACCCATGTTTAAACAGTTCCCTGAGCCCCACACAGCCCGAATGTGTCTTTTCCCATGCTCGAACAGTTCCCTGAGCTTCACGCCGCCCGAATGATGTGTGCGGCTTCGGGCTTGGAGGGCTACTCGGGAATCAGGCTCAAGGTTTAAGCTTCGGCCTCTAGGCCTATCCTTACTGTAGTCCAATAGGCTGGCCTATAGGTGTACCCCTTTGGTTTAACCTCGTTTAGACTAGTTAGAACGCTGTAAGCATGCTTGAACATGGCTGGTGAGAGGATTCTGCGTTTACGTTTGAAACATGTATGTTTAAACATGTTGCCTCGTGTTTAGTTTAATTTGTTTAAACGGTTCCAACATGACTCGTCCAACGTCCAAGGGTTCCTCTGGTTCAACCATGCAGCCCTTGAACATCGGCGCGTTGAAACAGTTTGAACAAGACCCCCGCCCAACCCTGGTACAAGCAGCCTTCGCTTGTCATGTCAATGCTGTTTGCTGGTGCTGATCTTGGGAGGCCAGTGCACCAGCCTCCCTAGCTTGCAAGCTGATTGCATCCACGACGACAAAGAAACTCAGCTATGCCTGAAACCTGCGATTTCGTCCTTGTGCTGAATCTCGCATTCCCCTACCCAGTGTCTGACATGTGGATCGAACAATCTGTCCAGTGTTGAACCCAAGGAACTCCGGAGACCATGCGACCTTCGTGACAAAGGGCAAGGGCAAAGGCAAAGGGAAGCGCCGACCCTAAGCCGCTTGCCTGAAATTCAGCTCCAGTAGATGTTCAGAGCTCAAGTAATTCGCATACAGAGGAGTTCCAATTCAAGAACTTTGGGCTGTCGCCTTAAGTTTGTAGCGTGGGTCAAGGTGTCTAGGGTTTTTGTTCTTGTTGATGTTGACGATGGAGCCTTTCATCCTCAAGCCATGGGTCGTATTAAGAGGGTGGGCAGTAGGTCGGCGGCTCGTGATTGTTGATTCCCGCTGGGTCCTGGCTTTGAGGCGTCGGCTTCAGCGGCAGGGGGTTGTAACACCCGGGGTTGTATTCTTTTCAATTGGTTGTGTGTGAGTTACTTGAATATCCTTGCTTGCCGCAAAGATATTGGAACCGCACCTGCGTTCCTTCCGGACTTCTCTTGGTTTGGCGATGGTGCTTTTGCATTTGCCCGGAAACCATTAGCAACCAGACCTCCCAATTGCAGATCATTCGATCGCCAAAGCTTAAACCCCTGCTTAAGATATGAGTGTATGAGTTCTTCCCATGCTAAGAAATGCTGCCTTAGGGCTTCAGGGCCTCACCTCACCTCCTACGCAGTTCAGTGGAATGCAGGTGCTGCGTTTCTTGGAGATGCTGCACAAGCGGATGTGCACTTCGCCTTCCAGGCGGCTCAGTTCCGTGCTGAAGGTTTGTGATTGAAGTTGATGTGCAGATTTCCTAGCGGCTGAGACTGCGGCAGTTTCAGAAAGTAGGAACCGAACTTGGCCGGGCGAGCTCCAATCAAGCTATGTAAGAAAGGGACCCTTTCTTTTGCCTATGATACATGCCTACGAAAGAAAAGTAGCTCGAACTCCGCTCCGATCACCAGCGAGCAGTTCCGAATGCCTCAATCTCAGTTCCATGTTTTCGTGGTTCAGTTTTGTTTGTAGATGAATCTAGGATGCCTCTTGTGTGGCGAAGCCTGTAAAACGATAAGCAGTAAAACAACACGATATCGTTTGAATCTATGTTACATGAATACGATGACAAGTTTTATTGTGATTTCCTGCTAGAGCAACTAGTGCTACTAGCATTACAGGTACTACTTGCTAACAATTCTGGGGCGACTAGTCCTGTCAGCGATGCTACTGCTACCGACACTGCTACGGTCTACGGCTGCTGCTGCTGCTACTACGCCCACTGCCATCGCTACCGGCCATGTGCAAACTGAGGCTGTAGAGGCCGCACTTGTACAAACTCAGGCTTGCTGAGGCTTGGGGGGCTGCAGTTGTGCAAACTGAGGCTTGAGAGACTGCACTTGCTTCTGCATGCTGCACCTCTGCAAACTGAAGCTTGGAGGCTTTCCAACATCCGAGGAAAGGATAACACATCGACAACTTTGGCTTGACAGAGATGCCTATTGAAAGACATGAGCATGCCAGCTAGCGAGTTGAGGTGTTGGCAACCTGCTCCGAGGACCTACTGACATCTTCGGATACGTAACTGTAGATGGGTTGTACGGTGCTGCAAGCCACCAAGAGCCAAGCCTGTTCCACGATAGTCCTTTCTGATACCTTGTAAAACGATAAGGAGTGAACAAAGAAGATATCCTAGTTTGGAGAGAAGGGATTCAGCACCGAGTGTTTGTACAACCTCAACTCAAGCGGCCGACAAGATGTCTTTGGTTTCTTCTACCCAAGTACGTGGTTTAAAGTGCTCGCTTGGTGGACATGCAGAGATGACTCGGGTTGTGTGCCACATTGTTTTCGCTCTCTGGATGGGCTCCATTTTCAACGCGCATTCACCTTTCCAGCACAAGGTGGAGCTCGACCTGTCCGCTCTGGGTCTCGGCGCTGTCAAGAGGCGGCCCGTCAGCACGGCAGCGGGACATCCTTTATACTGCTTGCATTTTGACGAACCAACATACGGCTTAATTACAACCAATTTCAGGAGTGCCCAGAAACAGGTTTGCTAAGACTGCTAAGACTGCGATAGGATATCTGAGGCTGTGAGCTCCCGCGACGATTTGTGCTGTGACTCCAGTCTCGCCGTGTGCGAGCGGAGAAAAAAGAGGCCATGTTGGTCTGCCCATTTTGCCCACGTGCGCCTTACCAGAATCACAGCAAATCGCAAGATTGGGGATTTGACATGGCTGTTCCGAGGCCTCATGTGACAGCTTCCTGGCAGATCCTGGGAGCTCTGCGCCTGTGTAGTGCATTCGGCTGATGCTTTCGATGGGGCTCCCTGCGGCACCTGTAGAATGTTCCATGTTGCTAAGGCTTTGGACTCGCTGCTTATCGGTGTGGCCTTCCCGCCTGTTCCCAGCGGCGTGGGGATGACAGGTCTGCTTCAGATTCCAGTGATGAGGCGACCATGGCGACCTGGCCAACCCTAGCTGACCTCTGCGCAGACTCTTGTTTCGTCAGGAGTTTGGCCGTTGCGGCCCAGGCCATTTTCGTGGACCGTAGCAATCCGGAGAGCAGGCAGGATTGTGAGGTCAAGAGTTGTCTTGTGAGGAACGTCTCTGGAGCAGCAGCGTTTCCCGACTCATCAGTTGTTCCCGATGACCTGCCATCATTGCGAAGGCGCAGTTGCAAAGAGGCTATCCAAGCCAGGGTATCAGAATCCTGGCACGGACCGCCGATGATGATCTTCCCTCAGGACGGAATCGAGATCCAATCCCTTTCCGCTAGTGCATAAGCGCTTGCATAGTCTGGCTGCCAACCCATCCGCCGTGCATGGTGCCAGAATTCTGTGCAGCAAAGGGCGTCATCACCAACGGCTTCGCGCTCACGCAGTTCAACGTCGGCGCTTTTTCTCCGGGAGTGCCGATCGTACCTGTCTGCTTGCGATACCCGTGGAGGCACGGGGCTCCCCAGCAAGAAAAGGCCAATACCGTAAAAGGAGACGACCGTTCCAAGTATCCGGGCTCAACCGGTACTGGTGCAGTACAGTGTAGTATTAGTCAAGCGCTACACTGCGTAGCAGGTAGCACGCGAGAAAGTGGTCTTGCACTCTTTTCTTTTTCTTGTTTTGTTTTCCCATTCCCCTGCGAACAACTACTACTTCTTCTTTGTGTGGCTTCTAGAACAGCAAATGTAGTAGTAGTAGTAGTAGTGGTGGTGGTGGTTGTCAAAAAAAGGCTACTCGTAGTAGTAGTCGTCGTCGTAGTAGTCGTCGTGGTAGTGGCAGCAGCAGCAGCAGCAGTCGTCGTCGTCGTCGTCGCAGCCGTAGTCGTAGTCGCAGCGCTAGTGCTAGTGGTAGCGCTAGTGGTGGTGCTAGTGCTGGGGCTCGTGCTATTGCCAGTGCT